GTGGACAGACAGCCGCTACTGGGTTCAAGCTGAGAGACAATTGGACTGCAACTGGGAGCTGGAAAAAGATGGTAGGGGTGATCATATTGTGATTACTTGTTATGACAACGCAGGACACATGGATGCCGATCAAATATTTGTGGTTTTGATGATCCAGTCTGTGACAAATGCGGCATCTCTGATTACAGGATTTACATGATAAACATTGCTCAAATAAAGTCACCCCATTTTATGTCTTGTAAAAAAACACTTTTTTTTTTTTTTTTACATTTTTCTAGTTTTTATATGATTCTGATGTTTACACATTTGTAAAGCACAGCATTTAATACATAGGGCAACTGACACTTTATGACTTGTTTTGACAACTCCCATCAGTCAAGGTTTTGTGCTTTGACAGAAAGAGCTCAACCCACTGCAACTTGCACTACTGATCTGACAAACTACGCTGCATAAAGAAACTTGCTGCAAATACAGATAATACAAGCATACAGAAACACTGCAAGTTCATTTTAGTTCTCATTGTATGATTCAGATTTTATAGGGAGATATTGGCTCCACATTTAGCCTTTTACAAACGACTGGCATGTTCATCATTTTTTGTGCTATTTCAGGTGTTGTGAACAAGTAGCCATGTTTATGTATTTGTTTGAGTGTTCTGTGTTAAGTGAATGTGTTTCTTAATTTGACTGGATAAGGCTGGTGAAATTCTGTATTTTTCTGTTGTGCCAAGAAATCCCACAAAAAATTAAGTGATCCCACTAACAAGTATTGTCTGTGTAGCCCGAAGTCGTATACATTTTATTCCTCTGTGCCTTTGGGCTCCTCTGTTGTCCAAAATATGTTTTAATTGGGTGACACATTCCTCCATTACAGCAACTGTAGTTTATTTTGAGTCAAGCCCAGATGCTGTAAATACTCGCTTGAGTGTATTAATCCACTGCTGATTATAAAACTCTACAAATGTACTATTTACTCGTGTTTGAGTAAACAACAGTGCCTAGCTGTTTTAGGACATTCTTTGGCCCATAAAAATATGATGTTTTTAAAGATTTATATCCTCAGTGGGAACAAATGTGACTGAAGTTGAGAGCCACAGACAACGACTAACACATCGTTAGTTTTGGTCTTTCCATGAGATTTGACAAGGCAGCCTTATTATTTAAGATGCAGTGCACTGAAATCTCTGGGCATGTGTAGATTTGTTATGTTGACAGCTCTGACATAATTTTAGCCTTTACTGTAATTACCCAGTGGCTTGCAACATGGGTCACTAATTCATAGCATCCTGTAACATCTTATGGTTACATTCATCTGCTTGTAAATGTAATTATTGATATTGATATCTTAGCATGTAATTTATGTGATTTAATACACATCTAACTGGCAAAAAGAAAAAAAGCATTCACAGTATTTGCTACAGGTAGGCCAACTGGATTTATTCTGTCACATCTACTAAAGTCAATAACAACTTGACTACAGTCTGTCATGTGTGATGTTGCCCAGTGTCCATCAGCAATGTAGCAGAGTGGCTGATTTCTGAGGTTCCACCAGGAGGCCAGATCGGATTTGATCCCTTCCTCTTCTCCCTCAGTAAGTCTCAATGCCATCCCTCCTGTCACTCCAAGTTAACATCAATATAGTGCTCCCCCAAGTAGATGGAAAATTATTGATGGGCCCTTCGGATGCCACACAGACTGTTTACTTGCGATTGATTCGGTTCAGTGTGTGTAATGATCTGCAATTTCCTCCATTAGAGACACAGGAGGACTACAGCATCAATCTGGAGTCGAGCAATCGCAGTCTCAAGTCCATCCCTGCTAACCTTGTCGATCAAGTGTGGAAGGAAAGACCACCCATCCCACCTGACAACCTAACCCGCCTGCCCAACAGAGTTATACGTAGGTTTCCTTATATGTGTGTTCCTTATATACTGTACACACACACACACACACACACACACACACACACACACACACACACACACACACACTGCAGTCTGCTGGTCTGGCTGTCTGGTGCCCCCTATCTATGTGCTGATAAATACCTGCAAACAGACGGCAACAAGCGGCTCCACAAACACAGCAATAAACAGTTGTGTTTTTATTGGCTGGCTTATAGATCAAATACTAACTTTGAGAGAATGGAAAAGCCTCCGGATAAGGAAGTTGTCTGGGCGCCCAGGGGCCTTATTAGTCTTTATGGTCGGAGAATAGACAAATGGAACAAATGGAGAGCATCATAAACCTAATGGTGTGTGTGTGTGTGTGTGTGTGTGTGTGTGTGTGTGTGTGTGTGTGTGTGTGTGTGTGTGTGTGTGTGTGTACATATTTGAGTACAAATTTGGAAAAATATCCTATACAGGTTTTTATATTGCTGTCTCATAGTTAGGATATGAAAGCTTGTTCTTATATTTCGCAAGTCCATAAAGTTATGAGCAGTCTGTAGATGACAGGAATGCCCCAAGTTATGGGAAACACACTGACGTACTGTCTGGCAGCACTTAGTAGGAATGATCACATTTACAGAAGGGACTAAAGATGCAATAATCAATATTTTTATATGAATGATGCACCAAACAACGTGTAATGTGAAAGGTGTTGCTGTTAGTGATGGACTCACAGAGATTTATCACCTGACTCTGCAGTTCCCCTCAGCTCTATGGAGCAATTACCAGACAGTCAAGCACCAAATGGCAGATAGACAAATTTAGTGAATGTAGTAGAACATTTAGTAGCTAAATGGTCAAATATTTCCCCTTAAGGTCGGTGGAGACCGAAACAGAGCTTTAATAAGAATTACAGTGACGATAGATAACAAAACTCAACATCCATCACAAATGAGCATCAAGTGTTTATTGTCATGGATGCAAATAAAAGTAAAATGTGTGTTTGCAGAAAGGTCCTGGCAGATGAAAGTGGCACACATACGGAATCAGATAAGGGACAATCCATACGAACCAACAGCTCTTCTGCTATCAGCCCTGGATGAAACAGCCTGTAAGTAACTCCTCTTTGTTCATGAAGCTCATCCAATGTGTTTCAATAAATCACGCTGCTCATTTAGATAAGTTAATATTGAACCACAGCTGAATTCACTGAAAAATACTGTTGACATGAGCATCATAAAAATGCATTACAGACATGACAAAAATATAGGAAACAAACTACATAAAAAGATACATTGAATTTTTAAATAAAGGTTGATAGTTACTTGTAATTATCTGTCCACTAAATTGGATTAACCTTTATTACCAACAGTAATCATGTTATTTAACTGATTTGATTTCCTGTGATTACACTAGACATTTAGTTCAGAACTTTGCAAATGAGCAGTGAATTATAGAAAAGCATCTTTCTTATAACCCACACCAGAGGACTGCTGAGCCTCAGACCTTCCCTGGCTTCTGATTTCAGAATTAGCGAGTCTGTTTTCAATGACAGGGACACAGAAAAAGCCACGTACACAAATATTAGATGTGAGCAGCATATCTTGGCTCAGGTTGGATCCTGCAGATGACGTTAATGAATGTGGGAGATGCTGCTGCTGCTGACAATCAGTGGTGGTGTATATTTTTGATTTCCAGGGCTGTTCAATCTGCGTGGCAACGACATCCCATACAACCCCTTCTTCTACTCCTACACATTGCTCACACTGGATGAGATCTGGTAAGTCCATTTTTCAGGGATTATGTGTGGAATTCATTTTAGGTTTTCTTTCTCCCATCGACTCCCATCACATATACTAGGATTTAAGGACATATAGCATTTTTCTTATTATATATATAAACCAAATCTCCACATCCACAGGCTCTTTCTCCACACTGACAGAGTGACAGAGGAATTGAAGGTGTACCTTAACACCTCCTGTGTTGGGTCCCTCTGTGTGCAGCTGAAAAGCTACAACACCATCTTAGATGATCTGAAGAAGTATGTGGCCATGCCAGGGGTTAAAGTGTGGATTGGCACAGAGTACACAAACTATGCACTGTATGAGATCATTACACCCGAGGTATTTTATTTCATTATATTTTCTCTACTGCATAATTTTGTTCTTCGTCATTGTTATGTAATGGTTTTTGAAATTATGTTGTATCACACAGTGTAATAAAGTTTGAATTGATGTATTTTATCATGCAGGCAGCAGTAGTAAGTCACCACTTGTCATTTGCTACTGGGATAAATATTTTTGCTGCGTGTTGTGGATTGGAATAAGTAGTATGAATTGATATACTTTTTGTATAAATAATTATAATTTTTGCATCCTGTAGGACAAACTAATGACAACCTCCTACTCTCCTGTATTGACGACCAAAGCAGTGAAAGATGAGACTGAGCAGCGAATCTTGAGGGACGCTCATGTATGTCATCTGCACTCAGAAACACTGACATCAAACACAAGTACACCAGCGAGTACATGCACACATGAGAGCAAACAAAACACTTGTTGTTATTATTTATGAAGTTGAATTTGCAAGACCAGATATGAGCTTCTAATACATTTATGTGAGGCTATTATCATTCCAGGAATCCATTAATCCGTCTTCACTGTCTGACTGGTGGGACATTTATAAATCGTTTTCACTTCAAGCTTGAACACTTCAGTGAACACACCCTGATACATTTATTACCCTGTCCAAACAATGTCTGAACAACCTTGCAACATGTTGCACTAGTGAGTTCATATGTTTTGTGTTGTAGTCATTGATGCTGAGACTCTCCTGGTCAGTTTGTCATTGTGGTTCTGTGTAGGTGAGGGATGCAGTCGCAGTCATCCAGCTGCTGATGTGGCTGGAGAAGGCAGTGCCAGAGGGGAAGGAGACTGAGCTGACTGCTGCAGAATACGCCAATGAATGTCGCAGGTGACGTAATACTCCTTGCTAAATCATGACAGTTGCAATATGCTCTAGAGCCTAGAAAATATATTAATAAGTAACATAAAAGCAAAGAGTGTTACGGGTGTGTGCAGAAGTCAGGACCCAAAAACACGACAAAATCAAGAGATGATACTATTAAGGGGAGTTTATTGCAGTAGTTAGGAAAACGTGGGAGTGGAGAGTGATCCGAGTCCAGAGGGGGAGTCCGGGCGAGGCGGTGAGTTGTGGCGGTTGAGGTGAGGCAGGTGGGCAGGCAGATGACTGGCAGGCGGTTTCTGGGAAGTGGGAGAGAACAAACAAGTGTCAGGAATTGCGAAGGAAAATTCACGAGAAACAACTTACTCACTACTGGAGAAGGCCAGGGTGTGTACCACGAGAGATACGCTGACAATCTGGCGAATACTGGCGTGCTGGACCGGGGTAGATAACAGGTAGCTGATTGCGAACGAGGTGCAGGTGTGAGAGCGGAGAGCCAGAGCCGGGAAGACCACGCCCACCTGCAGACAGACTCACAGGGAAACAGACAAACAGAGCCAATAGGATGGGGAAACGACAGAGAACACAAGGTAAACAGTGGAGGGGAACCGCTGGGTACCGCTGGGTATAACAAAGAGTCAAACTCTAAAAATTTAAAAAGACACTAGAAATTTGAATATAATGTAATGTAATAATTGGCTTGCACAGCTAATATAAACATCATTACAGTAAACAGAAAGACAGCAGAGGCCCAAGCTTTGAGACAATCTCTGCAAGCGGACCCAACGCTGCACTTGCCCATTACAGGTGAGATTTATTCAAATTCTTCCTCTTCTTCTTTTTCATTTGGATCACACATGTATCATCCTTAAAGGAACATAGCTGTGTGTGGTTTTGGAGGTGGTTCCTTGTGTTACTGCTAAAGGTGGTTCCTTGTGTTACTGCTAACTCCTTTTTCAAAGCATTCCATAAGTTTTAAACGGACTTTTCTACCTCTTTGGGTTGGTGTGTTCAAGGATGCTCAGACCTCAGACAATACCTATTTGCATTTGTGTCCACAAACAATAAGCAAAACATTTTAAAACATTTAATTAAAGGATTAGGCTGATGATTACTTTATTTCTCAACAAAACAAAACAGACAAATGACAAAAGTATTAAAACTAATAAATGAAACATTTTCCTGCTGTAAAAATACCCTCTGGTGCACCAGATGTGTACTAATCTACCACTGAAAATAGTCCCCAACAAATGCATTATTTACTCTTGTTTGAGTAGCATTCCACAAATACTACAGTGCTGAGCTGTTTTTGGAAATTCATGAAAAAATTTGTTCTTCAGAATCAGAATCACTTTTATTGGCCAGGAATGCAGGATGCAGGAATAAAGTAGTGGAGGTAATATATATACTGTACATATAGTATACATACTATGAATAAATGGGCTGAGTCCCACAGACACGGTATCCAAAAAGCATTGAAAGGAAGGCATTCTGGGAGTTTAAGATGCTGACCTGTAATCACAATGTCCCTGGTTCGAATCTAGCTGGGGAGCTTTGTTGATTGTTATCCGCCTCTTTCTCTCACTACTCATTTCTTGTGAGCTCTCCACTAGATGCTATCTAAGAAAAGCATACTGACCCCAAAATGCTTGAAAAATAGAAAACAAAACTGGGAGATAAGATATCAATCTAAAAATGTAAGGCATGCTTTAGAAAATGGTCAGCAATGATGTAAATTATTTGGCGCTACTGGGCTTTTAAAACTCTGGTATGGTCCTTTAAATGTGCTACAGCTGCCATAAGAGAGACTCACTGCTGCTATTATTTCCTGTTTTTTCTTGTGTTGCAGCCCTACAGAAGAAACAAGCCGGAGGTTGACAGTTGATGAGATGTACCTGGTGGACTCTGGTGGCCAGTATCTGTGAGTAAAAACACACTCTACTCACAAACTCTCCAGTTTCACATCTCATCACTTGCATTTGAAATGAGTCATCTCTACTCTCTGTCTCTCACTACTATCAGAGACGGGACCACTGACATCACTCGGACAGTTCACTGGGGAACTCCCACAGCAATGCAGAAGGTTACACTTTAGATATTACAATGAAAGTGTGAATGTTTGATAGGATATTTACATTTACTTGGTCAAAACACAAGAGATGGCTAATCATCCACAATTCAGTGGATCATTGGAGATTTTCTGTATCGCTCCACTGCAATAAAAATGTGTTCCAGAAACGCTCTTTTTGTATTTGATGTTTTGCTGTAAAAAAAATCTTTGCAGTTATGTTCTTTCATAAAACTATTAATGCCACATAATCCCAAATATTCCTTTAACATTTCCCCTTTTATAAACCACGTGTCTCACTTCACAGGAGGCTTTCACTCGAGTGCTCATGGGAAACATTGAGATATCTCGAACCATCTTTCCCTCAGGGACAAGAGGTGGGAATAAATAACATTCAAGCATGTTTAAAATGAGATTCTAGTTTGAAACCTTTCCTAGTTTCACCACTAGGGAGCCCTGTTTTCCCACATGCTAATGTTTTGTGAGTGACTACAGGATGTTTGATTGGTGCTCTCACCTATTTATCAACAGGTGTAAACATGGAGATGCTGGGGCGCCGAGCCTTGTGGGAGGTGGGCCTGAACTATGGCCACGGCACAGGTCATGGTGTTGGAAACTACTTTGGAGTTCATGAGTGTAGGCTATGTTTTCTTTTTTATTTCCGATATATTTTCCAAAATTTACAAGCCCAGTATGAAATTGATCATTGTATTCAGATACAGTGACACCACATAAAAACACATTTTAAAGGATAAACCCATCTTACTAAAGCAGAATTCAAATGCAGATTTCATTGATCTGTGATGCCTAAAATCATGATTATTATGCACAAGTTTTACATCAAATTGAACTTCATTACACTGTGGTGCTTATTCAGTAAGTGAGAGTGATAAAATTAATAAGCTGGCAAGCAATTTGCATGTTGGAGCACACATTTAATTTTGCAATGCAACCACTTCTATGTGACCTGAAATATCCACTGAGGTAAAAACTGAGCACAGTTTTGAAGAAAGAACAACAGGGAGAAGGCTAGGATCTGTGAAGTTACCTTAAAGTTACATTTAGACCCCTGTATGTAAAACTGCATCTTTTTTTTCATTATAGATTCGTCTGCAGACTACTTTCTCTATTAACTATATTAACATTTAGCTTGTAAATGTTTAGAAAATTGTGTCCAACACAATTTCCCAGAGCCCAAAGTGACGTCTTTAAATGTCTTGATTTATCTGACCACCAGTCCACATTAGAAAGAGATCCTGTTTACAGTGATATGAAACAGGCAAATCCTCACACTGGAGAAGCTGGGACCAGATAATGTTCCCATTAAAAATGACTTCAGTGATCAACTGAGTGTGCTAATAAATTAACTAATTAATGACTAAGTGTCTGCACACTGGATTTTAGCTCCCCAAAACTTTATTTGACTAAAAAAGGCAACAACTCGATACATAATCAAGGCAATACATGATCATTGCTTGAATAAATCACAGAAAGCAGTCGTATTAATGACACAAAATATATCCAAAATATATATATATATAAAAAAGAAAAAATTATACTAACTATACAAAATATAAGTTGACAAAATGTAATAGACCCCACTGATATGAAGCAGGACACACAGGATCGGGTGTGCAAATTACTATTCTCTGTTTTGAATTGCCAATTCATTTCATGTGAGGTTGCAGCAAAATATAAATTAATATCAGTGAAACGCCCCAGTTTGTAACTTAAAACAGCTGAAAATGTACATACACAAATAAAATGTTTGTTTTCACTTAGTTGTCTTTGCCATATTTTAATCCTGTAATATTTTTCCAGGGCCAGTGGGCTTTCAGGGCAACAACATTCCCTTCAGATCAGGCATGTTCACGTCTATAGGTGAGATTTTCTTCTTCTTCAAAATAATAATAACAATAATAATAATAATCTTTATTTGTAGAGCACCTTTAAAAAACAAGTTACAAAGTGCTTTAACAAGTGTAAAGACAATAATAACCAAAATAAAATAAAAACAAAATAAATCCACAACATTACTATAATTTTATAGGGATAAACATATAATGATTTTTCTTTTAGAACCTGGATATTACAAGGAGAATGACTTTGGGATCCGGATTGAAGATGTAGCTGTGATCGTACCTGTACATACAAAGGTAGATACAGTGTGGTTTACCAAAACCAAACACTTATTGATAATTATGTCAGTGATTTCCAGCTTTTAATGCATTATATAAGCAATGTCGCTGTAATTTCTTTGTGATTGTGCTTGTCTTTCCCTCAGTATGGTCATAACTACCTGACCTTTGAGACTGTGTCGCTGGTTCCATATGACAGAAAGCTGATTGACACTTCTCTCCTCAGCTCAGAACAGGTAGGAAATTGTATTTGACTGCATAATCGACTTCTTATGAGAGTACTGCATATTGAGAAGTTACTGGAAATTAACCATCATATTTTTGATAAAGCTATAAAGTGGTTACCAGACACAATAAATAAATACCCAGTAACAAGCTTTAATGTAAATTTACTTCCCCAAAGATATGATCAGTTTCCTGCATAAATTTGTAAATACCTCTCAGTCTAGGAGAATGTGACATCAGCCGAGTCTTTCGTTTTCCTGCTTTACAACTGCTGGTTTCCTCTTAAAATCCCCCTTAACACTTCAGGTCACAGCTTCTCTGCAGCTTAGCGATCAAAACATTATTTCAGAAAACAAAACCACGTGTGAAATCAACTTGTGTTTTGTTTCTTTTATTCTAAAAGGAAAGGCAAAGATATTTCTGCTGCATCACTGTACAAAAAATAACATTGTGTTTACAAAATGTTCACACAAAGAAGAACTGAGGTTTTTTTTAGCTAATTTTGAGTTTGTCTTGTTTTCTTCAACTTCAGTTTATTTATAGTGCACATCACTCAAAGAGTCTGTGGCACAACAAGTTTGAGGATATGAAGTTAAGAATGTTATTCCAACAACAATAACCAAATTAAGATCAGAAGAACAGAAAGAATCTAAGTATATTTACTCAAGCACTGTACATAAGTACATTTTCAGTTTAATACATTTACTTTACAGCGGTAGTTGCTGGTTTCTTTACAAATTAACCTTGTTTCACATTTTAAAAATGCAAGACTTTGTATATAAAATACAATACATTGCCAAAGATTAAAACAGTGGAATTGAACCTTTTTGTATTATGAAAAACTGTGTCTGGTTGGGGCCCCCTGTCATAATTGAGATGTCTTTGAGTTGTCAGGAGTTCCACCAAAGAGACAATTCCCTTCTGAATTTCTCAGATTGCTTAATTTAAATAAGACCCAATGAGGCAAAGTTCTCCAACAGACCACAAAAAACAAAAATTTAAAAAACAATTTTCCCGAAAGTCAACAGAGCTTTGTTTTGTCTTCTTTTCTTTCGCATCAATCATATCACGACCCCTCAGATGTTTCTTGTGATCCAATGTAGGGGCCACCCAGTTTGGGAACCACTGGACTAAACTAACAATATAATGTGGTCACCTT